TTGACATTGGTAATATTGTATTCTTATATTATCTGTTGAAAACAATAATAACCCATATTGTAAGAAAGTGTTCAGTTGATAAAAATGAACATTCATCATTTAGTTAAGAATATAATTTTGTAATTGCTAACTAAATGAGTTTCTTGATAATATAGAATATTCCACATATATCTTAAATAATATATATATGATATTAGTATATATATATTCAGTTAAAATAATATATTATATTATTATATATATATATATATCATACATCCAAAATAAAGATGAAAGTCAATTTAGCAACATTAAGTTTCAAATTTTCTGTGTTTATTATTCTAGTTCCAACCATTTTACATCTATTAAATTTAGCACTTTTACTTCAATATGAAATTGCTATACCAAAAAAATGTGTTCAGGAATGATTTTCTTATTATTTACTAAACACGTTTAATTAGAAAGCTAATATGCTCTTTTTAAAGTCATGATAGATACTTAGTTCTTGTGACTGACTATTAGTTGGGAACAAAACTATTATCTATCTCAATTTACTCAATTTAATTACTCTTACAGTTTCTTAAAATCACACAACAACAAAAACGCAGCTTAACATGATCCTTCAGTATAAGAGATCTTGCTTTAATCATGAACTTGGATAGAGGGGCATGGGGCATAGCCTACCAAAAGGCGTAGTAGTTTGTTTGTTACCTTCCTTTATTTGAAAAATTATATTAAATTATTTATTTTTGTTAGAATATGTAATTAATTTAAAAAATTAATTTGAAGTATCAAAAATAATATACAATATAATGACATATATTTATTGTTAAAAATCTTTGATGCATCTCCCTCCCAAAAACGATTGTCTGGATCCATCCCTGCAGATGATATAAGTAATAAGAGTTTGTCGTTATAGAATAATCTGGATTTATCATACGTATTGAAATGTTAATTGCAAACAGTTTTGTTTGTTTTATTCCTTACCTTGTCTTCAAAATCTTTCGCTGCCTTTGTAGATGCATTCACCTTTATTAGAGCTTGTTTCACATGTTGTTATAGGGATTATGATGGAAGCCAGTTGCGTCTCCAAGATGTATTGGACATCGTTTGCGTAGAACCTCTCATGAGCTCAATATGCTGCATTTAAATTGGCTTTTGATCGCTTAGTACCACCATGATTCTATAGAGTTCGTATTTCATTGAAGATACCGTAAAACCATTGGTTAAATCAAGTTGCTCTTCAACAAATATCCTGAGGTAAAGTAATAAATCGTATTTGCCCATATGTGCACAGAAAATAAGAGTAAATTTGTATAATTTTTGGAAATATAATTGGCTGTCGCATTTTCTAACTTTCAAAAATCTTCCCATTTTTTGCTTGCCCCTCCCCCCTCTTTTCCCACCTTCTCTCTCTTACTTGTCCTCTTTGCTTCTGAAAAATTCAGTGTGTCAAATATTCAGTAATGCTTCTAAAAATATAATGATCATGAACAGTTCGGGATTTTTTCCAACATCAGTGATTAGCATAATGCATCATAGGCAAAAGTTGTTATAATATACGTATTTTTCTTACAAAGTATGACACATTCATAATTTTTTTTCTCACCTCATGTATGCATGAGAATGAACAGGCTATGTTACTACTCAAAGTTAGTTTTGTCAATGTTTTTTCCCTTTTTTTCTTTTCTTTTCCTCCTTAAACTATGTAATGTATTGGAAAGGTGTGAACTTCAAGAATATATTGAACGATATACTGTTGTTTAGTATGTGTTTATGATTCCTTGGAGCAGTAACTTGTGCACCACATTTTATAGCGTATAATCTTGTGAGCTGCCACTTAGTAAATGAGTCAGGTGTAATATGTATTGGTGCTGTTCCAGAGATCATTAATATGTTTTAGTTTTGGGGGTACTTGGCACAAAATACTTGCAACATTTTTTGAAATTTTCAGAAAATCACTGCAAATTGTGAGTTTCAATTGTTTGCTTCAATAGAAGAAAAGTACATTTTAATTTTATGGTTATGATTTTTATTAAAATCTGAATAAGTTTGAAAATTGTAAAAATTCAAAAAATTTTCAAACCTATCCAACACTTCCAATTTTAAAGCTAGATAATTCTTTCTCAATGCAATTGAACCCCAAATTGTAGATATTTAAATGATGTCATGCACTGCAAAAGAATATTAGTAGTTGTTGAGTGATAGCATTATGGTGAGGAAAGTTTTGGTATGCCATGCATTCCCACTAACAGATGATGAAGTTTGTGTGTTGAAGATTAATTTGAGTTGTATGTTTTTTGGAGTAGATAAATGTGTGCAGTAATAATTTTATTTTGCTCTATTAAGCTATTAATGCACTGTTCATTTGAAGATCTATAATTGTGTTTCCTTTATACTCATTTGCAAATGTTTATTTAGCAAAGATCGCTAATGCTTTGGTACATACTCCTGACCAGAGCGCATTCATGACTTGTGATGATTTTAATCTTCTCTGAAAACCTTACTTAGCTGCCATATGCCTGTGGTTAGGTTGGCGAGATAATGAAAGCTCTTAAACAATTTTAAGCATATTTTGCCTAATAAACTACTGGGATATTCCAAGTGGTTGAGCTGCAATAGAAAGTTGGTTTGAAAAAATTATTTTTAGGCAAAAATTTGAATTGCAGAAGCAGAGAATAACTCTAAAAACTTGTAAATTGTTTATTATTTACAAAAGAAATAAATATATTTGTTGAGAAAGAAACAATGTTTAAAGAAAATTTAACACTGTAATAAAAAAGTGGTCTATAGAATGGCACATATTTAACCATATTTAGTTTCCTATTTCCTTTGATCTCGGCTAGCTATTTTGACTTGCCACATACTCTTGCCAGCTGCCATCTATCGCCACCTAATGTACATTTGTTTGACATTTTCTTAATTTTTCGGTTTCCTAATTGTAGAGCGGAATTATTATAGAACAGGAAAACCTCATCCTAAATGGCAATTTACATTGAAAAATTCGAAGCCATTTTTAAGAAATATTTGTTTAAACTACTGTAAATTCAACATTTGAAGCTCTTTTTTACAGAAAATTTTCGAGTTTTGGAAAAATTTAATTTGTAACTATTATAAGTAATTTCTCACAAAAACGATAGTGTTTACAAATTGCTTGAGATATGCACAATAATGGCATAAGAGATCTTTCAAAGAAATTACATTTGTATAAATTGTGAAAAAAAACAAAAATCACCCAAAAAAAATTAGAGCTGTTTTTGAGAAAATGGCATTTGAGCATTTCTGAAAATGCGAAGTTTTGAGTTAATTTTTACAGAAAAGGTAGAGTTTTTGAGGAACTTTATGTGACATTATTTAAAGCACATGCATTCTTAAATACAATAATGTGAACAAATTGCTAGTAACATACATATTAACAACAGGAGACAAGCAAAAACTTACATTTTTGTAATTTGTGAAAAAACAAAAAAATAAAACAATATAGCATTTATGCAATCTTATAGAGTACTTTTAACACTATCTCAATCAAAAATGTAAAGAAAAAAGTTGTTGCCGTTTTTGAGAAAATCTTGCTTTTGTAATTTTTTAAAATTGCACAAATTGTACGCAATATCCCCCGAAAACTACTAAAATTTTTAAAATAATGTTCATCACCATTATGAAAGAACAAATAATGGACAACAAATTTTATTTGAAGAAAAAATCTCAATGTTTAATTTTGTAGTTGTAGGAATATCCCGAAAATACTCAAACTTTTGAAATTTTCGAAAATTCAGTGGTGTTCCCAGGTGAACGGACGTTTTGCCATCAATGTTTTTTTTTTTTTTGGTATCAAGGGCCCACAAAAGAGGAATTTGGGCTAT